ACACACTTTTTTTATAGATATTTTATTTACGTATTGTATTTACGTCTGAGCTGAGTAAATGTTAGAAACATCCATCTCACGCGCCCTTGGATCACGTTGTGTCCCCCTCTATTACCCCTGGTACTCTATTTTCCTTCATTTCTCGTCTACAGGGTTCGTGGAGGGCTTAGTCGTGTAGTCGTCGTGTGCCAGTTTCGTTGTTCTCTCCCAAGTTTGTCGGTCGTCTACCCGCAGACCTCTTCCGACGAAGCTGTCAAATTCACTGGGCAAATGGCGTTCTGCATTTCACAAGAAAAAAGCATTATTTTTGATGCAATCGCGCATGGAACTAAACATATAGTTCGCTCTAGGTCTTTTTCTGGCTTCTTTTAAACAGTGAGTGTAACGTTTATAAGAATGAATAAGTATATACGAATGAATGAATAATAATGAATAAGTATACGAAAAAAAGACGTTGAGTTATCGCGGCTCGTAAATTATTTACATGTTTTTTTTTTTTCGGACAGTTACCTACAAACTGGTCCTCAACTGCGGCAAACAGGCTAAAGATATAATTATCAATCACATTGTGTTTATTTGCATAATGATCCGTTAATCTACTAGTATGTCACTTGTAGACGTTCAAACTGGCCAGTATACTATGTTTAAATCAGTCATTTATTAAGAAACTTATTTACCTAGTTAACTAGTATTCATTTAGACATTTTTTTTCCTCAGATAAATTTTTATTTCCAGCCCAGATTATTTTACAATGTAACATTTTAAACAATCTTTTTTTTTTGTCCATAAATATACGGGTTAACTCTTATTAATATATATTAAAATTTTGACACTTTTTGTTTAAAATTAGAATTTTGCATATTCTCTCTTGTATCTTGTATTAACTGATGTTTTTGCTTTCAGTCCCGAGACTATTAAAGCTTCATCTGACGCAGAACCGGTGGGCTAGCCAGAACCCACGGGTTTGGGCCCTCCGCTGTGGGTAGGGCCGCGCATGTGCTCATGCGTGCGTTTAACTACGACATGTCATCTAAGGGCCATCAAAGTTGCGGTGCGGACCGAGACCCCGATGGCCGTCGACTGTGTATTTAGCTAATCGGTGGCTGGGGGCGGTGAGAACCGCCCTGGAACGCGGGTGTACCTTATGTACGCGTTGTGTTTTTATATTCTATAACATTAATTTATATACAACTAGCGACCCACCCCAGCTTCGCACGGGTGCAATATATTATACATATAAACCTTCCTCTTCAATCACTCTATCTAGTAAAAAAAAAGATCAAGATCTGATGCGTAGTTTTAAAGATCTAAGCATACATAGATAGATAGGGACAGTCATACAGCGGGACGACTTTGTTTTATACTATGTAGTGATATATATCCTCGGCTAGAAAGAATTACAAGCAGAATTCCTACTTTATTCGAGCAAGCAGATGTTTAAACTTTTAATTAATGCCTTAGCCGCAAGCAAAGCAACACGATATGGATTTGTTCAGACTATCAGAAACTTCAGGCAATCAGAGTACAGAACAGCTTAGTAACGCATTTAAAAAAAATGTTTGTACTTATCTAAATGTGGAAACTTTTAAATGTCCATCTGTATTTATTTTCCAATACTTAAATTATGTGCCAAAAATAAATTAAGAAATTAAATATTTCGTGGAGAAGCTATCGTATCGTATCGCTAATGTATCAAAATAAACGTACATTATATGTCCATATACATACAATTAACATGACGCCACTAAACGGTGTCGTTTTAAATTATAAGTTATTTAAATTAAAGAAGCGTGAGAAGCAATTAATATTCACTCTAATGAAATAAAAAATAATGTATTCGGTCACCGATAACGTCATCGCACCAGTAAGAGCATCTCTCGATACGCGAACGTAAAAATGTCTTTTTCACCAGGAATTCTTCCGTCCACGTTATTCACGTGACGAAATCAAATGATAGTTAATAATTAAGAAACATTTAAAAATATTCGAATAAACCAAAAACGATACATATACAGCGTGTCGTTACCATCGCGACAATAAATGAACACACGTCTAACGCTACTTGCCAATAATCATAAAAAAATATTAACGTTAAACAAAATCCATTATTAAAAAAAAATATTTTTCAAACAAACTAATTAAGTAAAAAAGAAATAAAATTTCGAACATCCTATACAACTCGCGCCACAGCGTCGTATTACAAGCCTCTCCTTCTAACAGTATGTTTTGTCTCTTTTAAATTCATTCAACCCATTCATATGCTTTGTGACCTTTAAAAATGAACTTTACGTTACAGTTTTATAGGTAAGGCTGTTCTTAAATTCTTTGTTTTGGAAAATTAATTGATGTTTAAAGAATGTAAATGTTTAATACAATTTTAAAAAGTTATCCCCTATATGTGTGTTCATTTACTGTCGCGATTATAAGGACACGCTGTATATTATGATTTAGATGTGTCCAGATTGGCAGATTAACAACTTTATAAAACCTCAACCAGCAGATGAAACGACAAAATATAATAAAAAATTTGCAGTAATCCGAAAGGTATTGATATTATGAAAAGGTATTGATGTAAACCGAAAATTACAACCGACTCATCGACAAAATCTACCAAAATTTATGAATTACTGAAGGCATATTATATTTAATGTTGCTAAATAATGCAATACTTATCAACTAACTTGCACAAACTCCTCAATGCGCTTTATGGGAAAATAAATAACATTTTTATTGCCCAAGATATACCGCGAGCCCGTACTTCAAACTGGTTCCTAAGCGCGTAAGGATTCTCGGTTCCATTAAAAGAATGCAAGTAAAACAGGATTGCCGTTATTGGAATATCTCTCAGCTAATGTTATTTATTTATTAAATAGGAGTACTGTAAGGACAAATCTTAATTTTGGGAGTTTGCTGACATTACAAAGTTATTCAAATCAAATCAAATCAAAAATATATTTATTCACATAGACGCTTGCGCGTTCTTATGAAATGTCAAAAATCTTATCCTTTAAACGAGCAATTCTTGTATATATATATATATATATAATCGGAATCTCGGAAACGGCTCCAGCGATTTTCATGAAATTTAGTATGTGCATAGATTTGGGGGCGAAACATCGATCTAGCTAGGTTTCATTTTTAGTAAATGTCCTTTTATCCCTGTTTTCAGGGAATGAAAAATATAATTCGAATATGACGGTAAATTTCGCCGCAAGAAAAAATGTCATAATAGCTCGGTCGGTAATCGGGCGGCCCCAAAACAGACGGCCGTGGTTCGCGTCACGATCATTTACATATTTATTTTTTTACTTTTTTTTTTTCGATTCCAAATCATTGCTTTCTTTATTTTTAATTTTTTGTCGATTTGTTATTTTGTTATTTTTTTAAAGTTCTTTCTTTTGTGAAAAACATCAGTTCATATTTTTTTATTATTACGTCGGTAAGATCGAAAAATATTATGCATATTTCATTACTCAGTAATTTGTATCTAAATGTAATTTCCAAAATACACGATTTACCAAAAAAAAAAAACAAACCGAGCAAAGCTCGGTCCTCCGGGTACTTTTACATAAAAATTAATACGTTCGTAAGTTACCACCGGTTCGGAAATCAGTTTCTGTTGAAAAGAAACCGGCAAGAAACTCAACAGTTGCTCTTTTTTAGCCATGCCAAACTATTAGTTTACAATATAATAGAACAAGTATGTCATTTTATTTTAGCCTACGTCAACAGCATTAACCCCACACATTGGCGTCGTCAAGATATTGACATTGAATTTAGATATAGTTAAATGTCTTTTTGATCTCTGTGCATCCAATTAAGCTTGTAATCTATTATCATGATTTTTAAGTACAGATTTCAATATTAATCGTGGACTGAAGGCATATTTAACAAATTCTATTTTGTAAATGTGCATAAAAAAAGAGAACATTTTATTGATTGAAAAGTCATTATCATTATAGTTATATACTTATATTTAGGTGTATAACTGGTGTTGCTTGTTTTAATATCTACTTTTAACTTTTTTCTTTTATGACTCGCGATGCCCGCTTTTCACCAGTTCTTGCATAAATGGGAAATTGCCAACAATAACACGCTATATGTTCTTTGAAAGTTCAGATCTAATACATAAGTAATACATATTGAAACCGAAGAAGGACGAAATCTATAACTGCAAAACTGAGTCCAATCAATTAAACATTGGATATTATAGATAATGTAAATATCTTCCAATCGGGTTATGTTAATTATGTAATATTGTTATGTTTATTTCAGTCTCATATTTACCTCAATATAATTTTAATGTAGGTAGCTTTAAAATGGTACAAGTAGAAAATATTTAAAAATATATAGTACTAAAAATTAAGTGCATTTCTTAATAATACTTCAAATGATTTAAAATGTCATCCTTACATACAGTATTAGCCTTAATATTAATTTGTAAATAACTTCAACGAACGATGTGAACATCAATTTAACCATAATCTGGGATTTTGGTTTAGTTGAGATTAAGGTTTTTAACTTAAACGGTTTAAACCACGTAAACTCTACGGTGGTAGGGCCTCGGCTGTCGCACGAATGGGCAGGCCCGGCCGGGTAAGTACCACGACCTCACAGAAGACCAGCGTAAAGTGGAAGTATGACAAATACTTCCGCGTTTCGTCTGGTGAGTGAGGTAGCCGGGGCCCAATTTTCAAAAGGTTGTCAACGCATCTGTAACCGTCGGGTGTGGCAGATCTCCATGGGCGGCGGTATTCACTTAACATCAGGTGAACCGTCTTCTCGTTTAACAACTATTCGCATAAAAAAACCCAATGCAAAGGTAAACCGCGCGTCTAAGTAAGAGCAAAAGATTAATGTTTAAAAGGGTGTAACTATCGCCGCAGGTATCAACACAGGTCGCGCATAAAATATCCGCGACATCCCACCACTGCGTACAAACAAGAATGTATTTTATACCGTTAATTAATACAGGGCCTTATTAGTACATCGTTACTAACCTCTTTAAACTCGCCGGGGTTATCACAGGCAGTTGTTGCTACTACGGCAATAAACTCTACAATAATACTATAACCGAATGATTGAATTATCGTGTTGAGTTGTTTAAAACTTTACACGCGAACCAACGCTCTCGAGAGCGAACGTAAACTGAATTCACCGGCTCGACTTGTCTTGTCGCTTGTTGATTGCCGGTCTGTGCCGTGTAGAGCGACAATAGTTTCTGTTGTTATTTCTAACTTTTAAAACGTGTGAAATATCAAGAAGTATGTTTGTTTGATTCTAAAATCCGCAGTTGAACCATTTTACATTAAGTTCTAAAGAACAAATATGATTCGTATTTCATTTAACAAATTAATATGAACGAGTTATAACAATTGACATAATAAATAATCATTATAATCAGATATCAGATGAGTGCTAGGAGATAAGACAAAAGAAGAAACTGAAGTTGTGGGTTGTGTAGGTGTAAACAACAACATAAGTGCTTGTTTTTAGATAGGTAAATTGTGCAATTGTGCCAGTTTCTCAACTTGAAAATTTCTGTCCTAACTATTCACAAATCATTGTCAACACATTCCTGTTCGATCATCAATGACTCAAGGCGGACAAACCGCCATTCTGTCTCGTAACGTGCAAAGCGGCTCGCTTTTTACAACTCGCGAAATGCAATTTTTCGGGTATTTAGGAGATAATATGAAACTATGCTAATGGTGGATTTGTTTTCTCTATCAAAGAATTAAAAGTCACCTAAAAGTGTCAAATTAAATCTGTTTCCCTGTCCGCTTTCGACTTTTCGCTAAAACCTTGTATGCAAAACATTAATATACATTTCTAATTACATTCAATTTGTAAGCAAATACTTTTAAAAAAGAAAATAAACTAACGCTTCTACTAATAAGCCACTATATACCTTCTGTAGTACCTAGTTAGAACGATCAGTAATAACCAATTCATTTTAGTTAATAATATTTTCCGAAATTAAGCCATTAGTTATTTAGGAGTCTGGACTTTGGTAGTTGTATAAATATTGTTGACACTGCATCCAATTATTAGTTGGATATTTTCAAATGAGACAGACAGCTTAGCAATTTGTCTGACATCTGTTAAAAGTCTGGCAGTTTTTATTCATATGTATTATAATACATTTTATAAAACGTGTTGTTTATATGTGTCACAATATTTTACCGGAAGTAAATAAATATCTAGACTAATTTCCGAATACCTACATTTTATTTAGCCACCAGTAGTGGTTCTTAATTTTAGGCTATCTACTATTAATCGTCTTAGTACCTTTTTATTTTATTTTTCTCAGTTTGTTTTATACATATAAGGGGATTTTTTGTATGCAACATTATTGAAAACTTGCATTCCAATACTAGAATTTATTCACCCGTTTATGAAGCATGATATTCCCTACTGCCCACATACATTGTGCCTATTAGAGACTATTAATCAAGTGCTCCAACATTCTTATTATTCATCAAAATAGTAGGTTAACATTGCCTTCGAGATAAGATATAAATGCATTCTACCAATTGCTGTTGTCTTTTCCATCAACAGATGTCTGAAATCAAATACAAGTTGCTACTTTGTAAATTGCACTTCATATTATTTCTATACACAGCTCTGTATTTAATTTTTAAAATTATACCTATACCAACCAATAACCAAAAAGCCATTAATAGGAGACCGATTCCCAGAATTATCATGTACGTACAAAATTGAAGCTGTAAATCATGGAGCAAGTGCGAAATTGCCAATGTGTTGTATTGTACATCAACGTATTGTATGTAATAAGCGAATATAAATATAAAAGCTGAGTAAGGCCAAAAACGTTCTGTTTTCTTCCGATTAGCAATAAACCTTCGCCTTCAGTGAAACATAACTTATGTTCGTTCACACACATATATGTGGTGGTGTTTCGATGAAAACATCATAATTTAAAGGTTACCCTAAAAATTCTGATTTATATTCGGGGCTTGTTTAAATTTTTTAACTTTTATTACAAAACGTGTGTGTGATGACTTCAACTGAGACCATATAAGCAGTTATTAAAAATGGATTGGCGAATTTATTGTTTTTCAACTTTTACATACACTCGTATACATCTGTACATATGATTATTGAAAATATATTCATTTATACTTATTAATATAATTGAAAGTGTTCAGAAAAATACTGCCCCAGTCAAGTTTTGTTATTTCATTTGTTTTTTATGTTAAGAACAAAAATCGAATACGAAATTCAATATTAAATAATTTTCTTTCCTTCGTTGAAATAAATATCAGCAAATAATACATTATATTTTTAGAGGAAGTGCAAAGAATGTAATAAAATACGTCATGAAAATGAAATATTATATGTACATTCGCGGCCTCTTCCCGGAAAATATGGCATTATTTTGATTCCACAGTATTTTTTCTTGTAATAAAGTTGTTAAAGACTGTCTTCTTCTAGTCTAGTTTATAACCTGTTTGTCAGCTTCTTTCTTAGTTCGCAGCACCAGTATATATATGTCCTATGGTTCGCAGTTTCGCACTCTTGGCAACAGGGTAGTGTTTTGTACTATAATTATAGTAGGTTGTACTATAATTTCATGCCTCGTATCCATATCTAAGGATAGTACGGAAATGTACTATTATTTCGTTAATTTATATAAATGACCAATATAAATGCCAATCCAACATTAAAAAAGGTTTATTGTTTTAAACAAATTAAAATGGATATTATCACATGCTTTTGTCAATTATTACCATTATAAATTTTATTATATTTTATTAGACCAATCCAATAATCTTTATCAATGAACTATTAACTTACCGTAAAATTTCTATTTTATAGTGCATATTGCACTATGAGGCAGTTAATAGAGTTCATTGATGTCTAATAGTACTATTAATTTATTATTTCCTAAACTAAGATAACAAATAAACATAATCCATAGACGCCATTTTATTGTTGTGACGCCATCAAAGAGGGAAAAAAAGTGGAATTTGTACTGATTTTATTCATACAATAAAAATAAATTCTAAGGATGAAACTAATATTGAAGAATTGATAAACTTGGAGGAGGAGTAAATTAATGCCTGTTTAAATCATAAACGCCCGGTTTCTGAAACACTGATCATCGTAGATGTCTACTAATCAGCTGTCAAATGGATTTCAAATTACAATTTAGGTACCAAAAGGATGGTTAAAACCTCTGAATTGACCAGAATGATCTTCTTTATGATCAGAATGATCAATTTAAAGAGTTTAAACATCCTTTTGGCAACTAAAATGAAATTTGAAATTCATTTGACGACTGATTAGTTGACATCTACGATGATCAGTGTTTCAGAAACTGGGCGAAAGTGTACTATAAGTTTTTTACAAATACTATCCTTTTAAATTTTTTGTACTATCTTTTTCTCATACCTAAATTCAACCCTGCTTGGCAGCCGTGAGCCAGCAGATGTCATTAAAACGTCAGTTTGACTTTTTACGTGCAGAATGCAGATATTGATTTTTATTCTATTTAACTATTTCAATGAAAGTATATTAGTATTATTACAATAATAATATATTTTATGTAATATCACCTTCTCTAATAATGAATCGATCTAATACGCGTCATTTAAGAAACTGTTATTTGTATTTTCTCGTCATATTTACCTATTGGAAAGGTTTATCCGCAACAAGCTTTTGCAATTTCAATATAAAAATCAAACAAAGTCTTAAAAATGAAGGATTTCATAGGTAAGTTAAGGTAAAAAGGGGATATTACCCCTTCCTTCCTTCTTTATGGATTAAAATTCATAATAAATGTAAAAAAACCTTGGAGGGGAAGGTATTCAACATAAAGAGTAATCTTTCAATAATACTGAGGTATTTCTGTATGTATTTGGAGACTGCAATGTCTCCGGCGCTCCGGGAAGAGCAGCCTCTACAGGGGAAAAACTAGGAGTAAGGAAAAACATAGTTTTTCAGTGTAACGGTGTGTTGTTTGTGTTTGACATTAGATTAAATCAATTTGCAAAAATGCTTTAATGCCTTATGGGATGTACACAAAATTTGCATATTATTTGCCATATTATTTGCAATATCCAATATGAACAAAAGTTCATATTGTATATTGCAAATAATATGGCAAAATTCTGTTATTCAACTTTTTTTTTCTCAAAAACTGCATATAACATATAACAAAACTGCATATACCGGCAAGTAATAACAAAAAAAAATATTTGAAGATATGTGAATTCTGCCAATCCCCACGGTCAATGCCGTACCCTCTGCACAGAGGAGGCATTTGCCCAGCTATGGGATATATATAGGCTGACACTACTCAGTTTTGATACCATTAATAAAAGTTTGCTATTTATAGAATCTTTTAATAAGATGTGACAGTGGTGAGATTTGTGTTCATATATTTTTTCAGAAATATCACTTATGGAATTGTGTTTGAACATGAGAATGATGACGAAAGATGGGTTTATGAAGATTGTTTGGTTGGTTTATCACAAGAGTTACCATCTGGAGTGTTTGCAAACCCAGACGAATTAAGTGACTTGAAGAGAAACAATAAGGTATATGGTTCAATGAAGTTGATGTTTTTAACATTTTTTTAAGAACATAAAATTTTATCCTTTCACGTTGACATTTGTTGTTGTTTCACAATTTGTAAGTTATCTTATGATAACTTACAAACTCACTTTATAAACATAACTTGTACAAAAATTGTTTGAAACCTCAAAATTTATTCAATATTTATTCCCTGCCTCTAAAAAAGATAATGATATCTGAATGACATGATAATGAATCTGAAAGTTAATTTAATATTCAGTTTTCTCCTTGTTATAGTAACTTGCCATTTAAGTGCGTCTTTTGAATTAAATAACACTAAAATAAAATTTAGTTTATTGTGTTAATACATGGTCCCAGGCCCATTTTCACCCTTTCTTACTAACAAGCAGATTTTTTGTGAGTAGCTTCACAACGCGACTTTTTGACACTTTTTGATGAGACGCCCAACTTTTTCCCTTACAACAATTTTGGTAAAAGGTAGCTAACAGGGGAAGCAGAGGTGAAATATGTTGATGAAAACAAATATGTTCTAAATCCAAGTAGTAACTGATTTAACTAATATTTTACAGTTAAACGCAATAACAAAGAAACCTGTCAATGTTGAATTACCTACAGAACTGTCTAGTCCCAACATTGTATATATAACAGGCAAAGTTACTGAAGGAAGAGTAAACCTTTGGTTACCAGTTCATGCCAGATATCATCAAGCTGTTGCTGGTGGGGGGTAAGGAAAAGTAAGAAAATTATAATGATGACAGTGTGTGATCATTTGCATTCCTTGAACCATGCAATATACCAAAGTGATTACTGCCACCTGTGGACATCTACAACTTTTGTGGGGTTTCATTAACCACCTTCAAAAAAGTGATACCAAATAACCAGTTGAAATGCGGAAGTATTATACATCATTATATTTCATTATTCATACAGAGATATGGTAAAAGAATAATTTTGTTTATTAATTTACTTTAAATGGTTTGGTTTGTATCAAATTTACATGCTATAAATTTGGATGAACAAATTTTGGCGTAGATTTTAAGAAACAGGTATGTACTGTACCATATAGTTTTAATATACACATTCTGAAATGGTAAATCTGTATAAAAAAAAAATGTGTGCGTGTACTAGCGTACACTCGTAAGAAGTGAAACTTTTTTATGACGTTATTTTTAAAAAATAATTAACTATATGCAACTTTACAGAAATTGGTTAAATAAAGTTAAATTAGATAAAGTTTAATAAAAGGCTTTTATTATCATAGACATAAATACAAATTCTACAATTATTTAATTTTAGCTTTGTATAATATTTAGTTTCTTATTTGTAATACATAGGTGGCGTTAGTAATAAATTAAAACACACTATGGTTTGACCGTTGTAATTAGTATGAGACTCCGCAAAAATTGTTGATTGAAAAAATTAATAGCGTGACGGCCCGAGCCGAGGTTCCTTCGGGAGCCCTCGAGCTTAGTCACCATAACGCGTAAAAATAAATACGCGAGGTTCAGGCTAGGCGCCTCGAGCGCCCGGCCACCTCAAGTCCGTCGGATCTGTAAAGGCCCCTAAGGCCAACAGTGGCTCATCAAGCCCAAAAAAAAAAATTGATTGAAAAACTTGCAACGTGAACCTTGTTTATTTCAATTAACCTCACGGACCCAAAATACAACCGCTTTGAATTTGTACATGATGGTCCTTCGTTGCCGAATGTGTCGTCGGCCAGTGATTAGAAGGCAGACATTCGACTCGCGCGCGAGTGTTGTGAGTGAAGTTTTTTTGGAAAACCGAACTTGCGGACGTTGGATCGACGTCGCAACCGCAAGTTCCAGGAGCCGATCGAGGTTTCGAAGAGCATCATCGGTCAGCTTCAGATTGTGTCTTCGGTGGAAGGCGCAGTCAGGTCACGGTGGGCGGTGCCTGCCTTTGGAGAAGAGGAAGTGGACACAGTGTCGTGCTCTGAAGTATTAGAGCTAGCACTGTCTTTACTACAAAGATTATTATTGAATTTCATTAATTGTAATAGAATTATTACTATCATTGATGTCGTTATTATATATTTGTGTTATTAATGGCTTATGGTAACTGAAATACGAAATATATTGTTTACATTTTAGAATTAGAATTAAAATAAACCCTTTGATTTTGCTGATCACTTTAATATAACATATATACAGCGTGTCGTTACCATCGCGACAATAAATGAACACACGTCTAACTCTACTTGCCAATAATCATAAAAAAATATTAACGTTAAACAAAATCCATAATTAAAAAAAAATATTTTTCAAACTAATTAAGTAAAAAAGAAACAAAATTTGTAACATCCTATGCAACTCGCACCACAGCGTCGCATTACAAGCCTCTCCTTCTAACAGTATGTTTTGTCTCTTTTAAGTTCATTCAACCCATTCATATGCTTTGTGACCTTTACAAATGAACTTTACGTGACGCTTTTATAGGTAAGGGTGTTCTAAAATTCTTTGTTTTGGAAAATTTAATAACTCTGTAAATATTGATGTTTAAAGAATTTAAATGTTTCATACGACTTTAAAAAGTTATCCCCTATATCTGTGTTCATTTATTGGCGCGATGGTAACGACACGCTGTATATATTGCTATGAACACACAAAGGAACTAACGCCATCTAGCGTCAACTATTAAAACCACTAAAGAATAAAGACGACATAAAACCCCCTATTCAACACTAGATGGCGTTAGAGGAACATTTTAAGATAAAAAAAAAGATGGCGCGTAACGGAAAAATTTTACACTAAATTTTTTTCCAACCCCGATAAAGAAGTTTCACTTCAATAAATATTATAATATAATATTGTATTGTTTCGGAATTTTTGATCTAGGATAAAATTAATGAGTTCAATTAATATTTTAGCTCAGCCAGAAATCTAATAGAACCACCAAAACTATTCCTCCACTGTCCTGATGGTAGACTGGAGGTTTGTGGAATGAAAAAAGCTCATTTTGCTTTACGATGCAGTGGTAGCTCAAATGAGAAATGCAATTGGAAAAACATGCCTTTTACAATGGTATGAACAATATATTTATTTGTTTTGTTGATTTTATTTAAAGCAGAGGTGAATATTTTCATTTTTTCCGACAGATGACTGATATTCTTATTTGGGAGGTGCCTGTTGGTAATAAGGACCACTTTAACTTCGTTGCAATTGGTACGGCGACAGTTTTGGTGTCTGGCTCATTGTACTTATTGAAGACCATCCACAAGTACGAAGTCAGCCTGCGGAAGAAGAAATTTTGAGACAGTATTCCAAAATATAATTTATAGCAAATAACCACTGAATCCAAGGATAGTGTAACATTGTTAATTCGTATCTGAACGTTGTAGTCAAGTACAGTGTGATGCATTTTATGTATTTACGTTCTTTTGGAATGGCGAGGGACCATTGGGTCTGCCTTTAAATATTATGGCATGAAGTTCTATGTCATTGTTAAATATAATTATATTACTAGTAAATTTAATAACCGCACAGAAAATAGTCCGACAAGCCCTCTATTTTTGTCATGCGAAAATTATTTTGCTTTACGGTAAGATTTTCCATTACCACAGTGTGATTTACCAGGTGAAAAACACGTCTTGTCCACACTTTAAACAAACAAATTATTAAATTTGACTCTTCCACGTGCTTCGCCAGAACACTCGCTATGTCGCCCCTGAAATTCTGGGTTCTGGCTCCGCCTTTTTATGTTCACTCTAGGGGTAGGGACCACAAGACCACATGGAGTCGGGGTGCTTTGTGTCGGATCTGTGACTCATTATTTTTTTTTAATTTTATCGATTTTACAATCGATACGAGGATGACGTCACTCGCTACTTATATTTATCATGTTGGCTGTACGTACAATTTTTTTTTAATTTCTATTAATAAATTGTTTTATATTCGATACGAGTATGACATCGCCCGCTTCCTATATTTATCATATTGGCAGTACTGTATATTGAGATTTTGAAGTCCACTTAGTAAAATGGCAGACTTTCGTAGTGAAAATAACAAGTTTTAATTAATTTTTATCTCAAAAACTGTGAGTGAGCAGATAATTCTGCGTGTTGATTATTTCATTAGTAATTTTTCTCTATCGAAAAAAGTTTTTTGTTAGCTCGAAAATCAAACTGTGGTAATGGAAATTAATACCATATTTTTAAATATGGCTCAAGGTTCAGTGAATAAAGATAGAAATAAAACACTCTTACAGTGACAAAACTTTAGGTATCATAGAACAATATGTTTTAATGCCAGTTTTCATTGTAATTAAGTCAATGTTACTGAGGAGACAATTCAGTTTTGGGGAAAATAAAAGAAATTATTACTAAAAATATTTTAAAGGTGTCTTATTTTTTTAATTTTTCTTTTATGGAGGCAAACAAGTACATTTTAAATAGGTACCAGTGTAGGTACGAAGTTATAAGAAAATAATTATCTATTTAAAAAAATATCGTGCTATTTTGTGTTGTGCATTTACATTTTTACTTTGGTAGGGCCACTGAACAGTCTTCACTGTTACATGATTGGACAGGTCAGTAAGGGGACATACCACGACCTCACAGAAGAGCGGCGTGAACTAGAAGTGCGTCCTACTAAGCGTAAGTAGAACGCACTTCCATACGAAACGCAGAAATGCTATACTTCTGCGTTTCGTCTGGAGAGTGATGTATCCGAGACTCAGTTTATACTTTATTCAAAGGCAACGTATCTGCAACACTACGGGTGTTTCTAATTTCCATAGGCTTCGGTAATCACTTAATATCAGGTGAACCTTCTACTTTCTCTTCATATTTTAATCAGGTGAACCGCCAGCTCGCTTACCACCTTGTCCTGATTTTCCTCGATCTTGCAATGTATTTTAATATTGTCCGACTGATTTTTGTTTTCATATCGAACATATAACTAGATAATACACATCCATTTTCTTTAACTTTTTTTTATGTGAAAAGTTGCTAAACGAGTAGACGGTTCATCTGATGGTAAGTGAATACCGCCGCCCATGGACGTCTGCTACACCCGAGCCGATGGTTACAGAGGCGTTGACAACCTTTTGAAAATTGGGCTCCGGCTACCTCACTCACCAGACGAAACGCGAAAGTATTTGTCATACTTCCACTATACGCTGGTCTTCTGTGAAGTCGTGGTACTTACCCGGACGAGCCTGCCCATTCATGCAACATCCCAGGCTGCTGCGTGGCCCTACCACCGTAAATTCTTTAACTGTATAAATAACCATGCACAAAATTATGTAAACATGGATCCCAATAAAGACAAAAAATATTAAAATATAGAGGATATTTATTTATACAAGGAAAAACGGAAACTCGGAAAAATCCAGGAAAGAGCACAAACATTTACAATCGCGAATAGAAAGTTTGAAAACATAAATAAATGGAATCCTTGACAACTCTTTCAGCAGGGTAAAGTTTTTGGTTTTATTTTATTGTCAGGAAACGGCCTAGTTGCTTAATGAATTTGCAAGAAAATTCAAAGTTCGACACATAGCAATTGACCAGTGAGGTTATAAGCTTTGTCTTGGAGTTCCAACCATATAAACAGAGCGAAATAAATCACATAAGGGTGACAAGCAGTGAACATATCGCTTCACCCGGGTTTCAATGTGAAAGTTAATTCTACACACAAGAACTGAACAAATATTGAAATTTAATTGGAAAACAAGCTTCATTCATCATCGAACTGTGGTAGGTCCACGCAACATTCTTCGCTGAGAATGGGCAGAACGATCGGGATAAGTACCATGAATGGGAAAAGTCCCATTTCAGCGTATAATGGAAGTGTTATAGATATTTTTGCGTTTCGTCCGATGAGTCAGGTAGCCGGGGCCCAGTTTATTAAAGGTGTGCCCCTACTGGAGTTGCAAATGTCAATAGGCGGTGGCATTCTATTACATGCTCTTTGAATGCATATTCTGTTACATGCTCTTTGGGCGGTGGTTACCACTTAACATCAGGTGAGCCGCAAGCTTGCCTTCCACCACCTCATATAAAAAAATCTGGCCTAGAACCGTACTCGTCCTGCGATAAGGCATATATCTATTAATTGCATTTTATATATCTATTAATTGACAGTATACATAGACCTGCATTACATAATTATGTATGCATATATCAAACTTCTTAAACTAATCAATATCAAGACTGAAGATAAAACAACAGGAAAGTTCTAAAACAATATAGAAAAGTACGTTTAGTCTGAACTCGTAATAAGTAAACATTACTTAAGCTAGCATAGTTTTGGTGATTTTGAATAAATATGTTTTCCAAGTCATATAAAATAATTTCAAGTAATGTGAAAGAGCCATCTAGTGTACAAGGCTCGAACTCGTAACCGCTATGAGAAGAAAAAAACATGGAAAAAATTCATTGAAGAAAAATGAAAAGCAAATTAAAAACCTGTAAAAAAGTTATATTTTAAATAAATGATCGGAATACCTTAAAAAATACACGCTCCGTACGATAGTTCAGCAATATTATTTTTTAATACAGAGTAAGAAAGAACAGAGATTGCAATCATTAACCATTTAAAAAAGAAAACATACAAATAAAGAATAGTTTTTGTGAAAGTATTCATACATATTCCTCAAAAAAAAAAAAGTAAATAATGAATAAAATTAGCTTGATAGTCGTAAAAAAATTAACGAATGATGTAATTTTACGTTCATGATAACACACAAATAAAGTTAAATATTAACAAATTAATTTAATTAAAGCCAGTGGTGAGACCCTTTTGGTTTGGTAATATCTAATATATTAAAATATTTATCTCGCATGCTTAACAGTGCCATCTGTAAGAAAACCTCTAAACCAACGGGACATGTTTTTCCCCCGGAATTTTCAAAAGTGACAGTTATTTATTGATTTTTGCAAGTTTTTCTCTCTCTGCTTTTCAAACATTGTAACGTTAAATACAATTTATTCTTCCTCGTCGAAAGTTGTTTAAAAATGCGGAAATGTAAGCTCAATAACTGTATGTGTCTCTTTGAGAATAATTCCATTCTGCTGCTATTCTCGTTAATCGAATGGTGTTGAAATATAAAGTTTTTGTTAAGACTTGGCGGGAATATTATTTAAGTTTGTGATGTTCTTCCGATAAAGTAAATCCGCCCAAGTGGGCATTGTGATACGCGTTATTAGTGTGAAATGTGTGCTCAACCGCAAAGCGCAGACAGGGGTCGCGTGGCACTCCGACGGTCACGAGGGTGACTGTTATTGTGTCGGAGCCAATTACGATCGCCTGCGGTTTCGTGTATAAGTACGCGGGATTTGAGACGCGACGGGATGGGATGAAAGGAACGCTCCGATGTGTAGTTCAGAAGTTCGTCATCGGCGTGCGAGGATTTTTGAATGCGAATGGAGGCAATATCTCGCGGCCGGGCTCGCGTTCCGAGTCGGGGGCGTGCCGCGGCGCACAGATATGGATTTAAGATTAACGAGGGCACGGCGCGGGGCGAGGGGGGCGGGCGCGGTGTTTACATGCGGGTGCAGGCGGCGGCGTGCAGCGGGCGGCGCGGATCGATGCTGGGCGGGGCGCGGCGGGGGGGCGCGGGGGTGTGCGCGGGGCGGGGCGAGCCGCCGGCCGCCAGTCCGCCTCGGGGCCGCGTCCGCGCGGTCGTCGCCTGAAAGTGGTCGTGCGGCGGCCGGAGTGTCTCCGCGTGCGCCCGGCGGCGGCGGCGAGCCTCGCGCCGCCCGCCTCGCCCGCCTCGATGCCGCGCGCAGCCGCAGCGTGCCGCCGCACCGCGCCCCCCGCCCCGCGGCCACGCGCCGCGCGCGCAACCACAGCGCCAGCGCCGCCGACAAGGCGCCACCCCCCGCGCGCCCCCCGTCCGCCCCGCGCCTCCGGCCCGTCTTCCTCTGGGCGCGCCAACTGGACGGCACCGTGCAAGAGGTCCGCTGCGAGGACTACGACCCGCGCAACCGCATCCGAATAGCGCGCACCGCCAACGGCTGGCGCGTCATCCCGCGCACCGAGATCTACAACTCTATTCGCGTGCCGCCGCCGCCGCCGCCACCGCCGCCGGCGCGCGAACGCCGCGACCGGCGCGGGCGCCGTCGCTACGCCCGTTCGCGCCGGCGCGCTCGCTCTCCCACCGCCGCCGCCGCTGCCGCCACGTGGCAGCTCTCCCCAGACCTGGAGACGCACATCCCATCGCACACGATCGCGGTGTCTCGCGCGCAGCCGCCGCCGCCGACGCCGCTCGACAACCTCCTAGCGGTAGCCGAGCTTGAGTTCAACCAACAGCGCGAGGAGCGCCTCCTTGAGCTGGACGGCTTCTTACCCCCCGAGGAGGTCGCGCGCGACGTCATGTCGTTCGAGCTCGGCGAGCCGAAACCGCCCGAGGAGATGTTCTACGAACGCAAGATGCCCGCGCCCGGCGAGCGTGCTGACGACTCGTTTCCCAGCGAGATTGTCGCGCATAAAGACCTCTTCGAGACCATCAGCGAGGCGCACTATCTGCCTGAGCTTGGAGGGCCACACGACGAGGCGCTACTCGAGTCTCTCGTCGAAAAGGGCTGCGAGGACAACCAGATCCTCGGGCAAGCGTTGGACAAACTGGCGCATCTCGTACACGGTTCCGGTGATTACGTTGATGAGGAGGGCGAAATGTTGCTCAACGATGCACCGGTTACTGACATCATGGACCGCCTCGAGCACTCCCTCGCCGCCGAATCGCCGGGCCGTAGTAGCATCACCGCGGCGCAAGGCTTACTCCACTTGCACCACATAGGCGACCACATGCCTCCGCAAGAGCACCGGCAAATAGTTGAACAGACCTTTATTTCTGAGGAGGCGTTCAATTCTGAACAGCAAGCAGAATGCTCTATGGAAACACTCACCGCCAGCACGGAAATTCAAGAAGCAAGTGACGTTAACCACATAGGGTTTGACCATGACGCCGAGAAGAGGCTAGAAAATGATGTCGTACCTAACGACACTATGTATACTGAACCTGTACCTGATTCTAATGAGACTTACATTGAAAAAGCGTACGAAGAGCAAGAACCCCTTTTACCAGAACCCACTTATCCGCACCATAGCGAGCTTCACGTGCCAAGCGAAACGCCCGGAAACCATATTAACGATGATATCAATGATCATATGGACGTAAAGAGCTTGACTGACGAACAACTGAGCAATGACGAAGCGACGGCGCCGGACGCCGATGTTAACATGTCCTCTAGCTCCGGCAACTTTATACGAACAATCGAGCTGCCGGAGCTAGAGGACATATCGAGCAACGAGGAAATGCCCACCGATTTGAGTATAAAGAGCATGGAGAAGAAAACGAACCCAACGGTGGTCGCGAGCGACGCCGAAACGACGAACGCTTTAGAAGACAACATGTCTGAGAAGAGCGACGAACAGCCAAAGGACTTGAGCGTGCACCGGCGGCTGCCCACTCCGCATGCCTCGCCGAGGAGGACGGATATACCGCGCGCGCCCTCCCGAGAGTCCGACGCGATGCAGTCGCCGCAACCGAGCGGCATACCGGCCATACCGTCGTCCCCCGAGATCTTCACAATGCCACTCACCAAGAGCAAACAGACGCTGTTCCTGGAGACGCTCCTGTCGTCGCCGTCGCCCAAAATGTACACCTCGGAGGTGACCATCACTAAGCAGCAATGCGAGCCACTCAATCTGGGCAAGCACAGGAAGTCGGCCAGCCCGACGGTGTCTAGTTGCTCAGACGAAATGAGGAAGCTGCAAAAGGAATACGGGGAGCCGCGCGAGAAGAGGATCAAAAGGGAAATGATCGAGGATCATCAGGTCAGAATAACCAAAGTGTTCAATAAATGCAGCGAGGAACAAATACCTGACCTGACCAAGGCGAAAAGGCCCGAGAGGTCCGCACACAAAACCATCGAGGAGACGACGCCGCTACGACAATTGCACATCCTCAAAACAAGCGCCGAATACAACATCCCAGACCCTCTGCTAGTTCCCAAAGATAGACTCAATGCTATACTAGCCGCCCCGGGCAGGGAAATACCATTACTATTAGTACAGAGGCCTGAATTAAGGCTACCCGAGGCCTTCGCATATCCGAACATTCTACAAGATCCGGACATCCTCGTCGTATCTTTATCGCAACTAGAAACGATACTAGAGAACGACCAGAAAAAGTTGCCGTCGCCCAAGCCGAAAGAGGCCAAACTGGCGATGGCGAAGAGTTTGGTGGCCGTAAACAGCTCCAGCTGTGAAAAGTCCAACACACCGCAACCGGATCAAACGAATCATCCGAAGCCTATACCGTCAATGGACGCACTGGCGGGCGATATTGACGCCGCCACCTCCGCGGCCCTCAACCAAATGCTGTGGCTGCCGTACCTCAGCCAGCTGGAGGCGATGGCGGCGTGCTCTCAAAACATGGACTTCCTGAAAGCTTTAAACTCGCCCGGATACTCCGGGCCGAACTATTCCGACCTATCGCAAATGTTCAACCCGTCCGCGCGATTCATGGGCCCGTCCGGATTCCCCATGGTGCCGCCGATGGACTACGACAATCGGATGCAGTTCGCCATGTGGCAGGAGGCGATGAGTCAGGCGAACCCCTCGGCCGCGCAGAGGTCCAAGCCCTCCCTTGAGGCCCAAATGAAGGAGCTCTCGAAAGCCGGCGACGTGCAGAACCCCTATGTGCACTCTACGAAGAGCCACCAGAGTAAGAGCCACTCGTCCGCCCGAACCAGCCCAATCGCCCATAACTACAACAGCCAGCGGTCCGTTCCGCACAACCCGTTCCTGCAAGGCATGTACCCCGGCATGGCTCCGAGCGTGCGGCCCAACCTGCCGCTGCCCGGTTTGCAGATACCGTACTTCAACCCAGGACTGGTCGGCAGCCAGAGGTCTCCGCGGACTGCGCAGCAGAAGAGCCCATCTTCGCCTTACTACCCGAACAACAACTATCTGCAGTCTGTGAAGCAGTCGGAGTTGCAGAGCCACTCGAGGAGCGCGTCCAGCTCCCAAGAGTCTCCGCGGCCGCGTATCAGTGTGAAGTCGCTGCAGAACCTTCTGGAGCCGACGGCTGCCGCTGCGTCCGGCGTGGGCACCTCCAGAAGATCTTCTACTTCTGCAGCGTTGGGCCGCAGGAGAGAAGAGCCCGAAGTCGGCAGCACGACGCCCCTGGGCGAGCCACCGCCACATCTGCCACCGCATCCGCACGACCCCTCATCCTACCATCTGTGGCACCCGCTATTTGGCAAGTAAGTGACTGTTTAATAACGCTTTCTCTCCTGTATAGCGCGCCGAGTGATAGAAATGAAGATTCATATTTTTTTTAAATTACGTGCATATTACAATTAGCGAATGCACCGTCGAAACAAACGAAGACTCATGTTTTTTTTTAATTACGCGCAATCACATGTTACAATTATTGAATGTACACAATTCGTTATTCACGATGCTCTTTACAGTCACGACGTAATTCATACGACGTGCAAATAAACACTAACAAACACTTGTGTTAGAGTGCAATATGGTGAAACGTCAAAAAATTTACGTACCTTTCATTTCTCATTCACATTATTTCTGCAACGGATGTCGTAATTATAGCGCACGATTGCGGCACTCCGAAATCACCTTTGCGCAAAAATAATTACGGCAACCATCTGCCGTAATGAAGCTAAAACTCGCATCAGCTACTTGCAAAACTTTTCTTATCGGCGTGGTGTGATTAGTGCAGAATTTTTAATTGCGCCGAGCGTCGCGCGGTGTAGCACGATATATTCACATGCAGAGCATGTAACAAGCGAAATGTAAGGATGGAAAAAATTGTTGACTGTTCGCTTTAAAAAAAAATAATCCGATAAATATCTCGACGTAAACTTGGCGGGAAAACTGATGGCCGTACGGTACGGTGCGCGAAAAAATGAGAAATTATTATGAGAGCACATCTTGTTTAACACGCGTTTCGAGGTAAGATTTACGAAGGAGGATTTAATTGACTTATTTAAAATAAAATTTATGCTGAACACACTCTACGAGAAGAGAAAACATTATACACCTTATTTCGTGTACTCTATCGATGACTTTCGTATAACATCGTCGTCGTAGAAACAACAATTCGTTATCGAATTAGGATGGCTAAATGCAATTGCAAAGATTTACACGCAAAGTGTAGTAGTGGTAAAGTTGTTTATGATTTTTCAAAATGGGAGCATTTTCAAGCAGCAGCAATGGGGGTATTTTTATTAAGCACACCATCTCCTTCTATTCATAAGTTTATTTTCCTTGTCCTAAGGTTGTCTGGAAGAGATCGCTTTTTAGCGATAAGACCACCTTATTGTATCTAGCTTTTAAGATTTATTTTATATCTACTGTATACGTCTTTTTGTGGTGTACAATAAAGTATATATATAATAATAATAATGGGAGCTTGCTATTTGTATTTACCGTGTCAAGCATAGCAAAGCTCATTTCAAGTCACGTTTCAATAAAGTTGGTCGCACTGCCTCCGTGTGGGAACACGACTTGGCTAGAAATTGACGTTGGTCGCTATCGTTCGAAACTCATGTGCCCATTAATTAAACCGTATTGCGTATAAAAGCATTGCAGATACAAAATTTATATTCATATTCCTTATTAATTGTGTTTCTAATTTCTCAATGTAGATTAGTGGTAAAACTTGAAAATTAGAATTTTAACGACAATCTAAACACTTTTTATTTGTCCAATACATTACATACTACATGTTTTATAACCTACATTATCTTTATCTCGTAAACTAGTAAATAAGTATTGTAATATGTATTAATAAACGTAATAGTCTATTATAATTCAAATTTCCTTTGATTAAATCAATAGTGTGTAGTTAACAAGCTTTTATAAAGTAAACATTATTACATATTTTCCGATAGTTTTCATTACTCAGTTTTGTAACTTCGAATAAAAGTAGGCTCAGCTTATGTTATATTCAATTTTCAATAATTGTTTCGCTTTTTTATCTCTCAAAAAAATCTTCAATATTCTTACAATTTCCGTAAAATGCCTAGCATCATTTTTACGCTACGTCGTCACCGGAAATGCAGAATCTTTTTTGATCTCCCGACAACCCTATCTTATTCCAATAATACCCACCGTCCACAGTTTGCGTCCACAGAACTTTTGGTTACTACGACCGGGGAAACTTCGTTCTTATGATAAATTATACCACGCACAGACGAATCTTCCACATTATGTAATGTAATCGTAATCTGCTTCTATACTTCCGTTATTATCCCAAAATCAATGATCACACGAATCAGTGATGTACACTTCGGTGGTTAACGTACAAGTCTGGAAGATCCCCTCGGTTCTTGCATTTGATACCCGTTGATTTCTATCCGTTATCCTATAACTATGACCGAGCGATTCTTTTACATAAGCCGAAAGATCTAACTAGAGTCATCTGGTTTTCCCCGTAATGCAACTGATGGGACAAAACTTATCCAGGCGATCGGAATCGACCCCGGGATCCGCAGTTAGGCGGCTGCAATAAATAGCCAAGGGCACTCCACTCTATGTTCCCATTCAGTACAGAGCGCAATGTCATTTTCATTGAGTTTCGCTTAAGATGCTATCGACTGATTTTTTTTCTGTACTTCATACCACACGAGCATTCCACACGTTAATAAATGTGCTCACGAAGTGCGGAGGCAACGAGGTTTGTTTTTTGTTTGCAACCTCCTTTGAAGTTATTAGATAGATCGCTTGAAAAAACCAGCCAAGTGCGAGTGGGACTCGCGCACGAGCGGTTCCATATTTTTTAGTGTTTGTAGTTATAGCGGCAAAAAATACATCATCTGTGAAAATTTCAACTGTCTAACTATCACGATTCATGAGATACAGCCTGGTGACGGACGGACAGACAGACAGCGGAGTCTTAGTAAAAGGGTCCCGTGTTACCCTTTGGGTACGGAACCCTAAAAATTTATTGATGCTGTATTCTCCGTTATCTGTCTTTGTTGCAATTTCATTCAATAACTCTTAAGGCTGCATTCAACTGTTTTTAAAGTTTTTAAAGTACTTTTATAACCTGTCTCTCTGTGTACATGACATCGGTGGCAAATACCTACTATTATTACTTACATTGTTACATAATTTGACAGCGTGATTTTTATAATTGTGCTAAATTATTATATTCAGCAGAAAGAAGAGAAAATGCTGTTAAAAACACAAGGTTATTGATGTTTAGCGAGCGCAATTAGTTTTAGTTTTTCTTTTAACAGATTGTTAAAACGTAGGGCATAGTGTAGTTATTTTACACTACGAATTTTTTAATGTCTTCATAATTTTCACTATGGTAGCGCCATGCTTGTTCAATTGCACGAACCTATTGATTTGATTTTGATTTTAATTTTTTCTTGTAAATAGCATGCACAGCCCAAAAATCAACTAATAATTTATATTTGCTTGCGTGGCTTACGTTCGACCTTAATAAATTTTATGAAAAACCGTACGAAATTTCTAAAAAGCAGCCGTCGGTTATTACCGATGATTATACATTCCTCAACTAAAAAATGCAGTTACACAGCCAGTAAAGAATTAGCCAGAAAGTACTGGAATAAAAAACAAAACACTTTTCGTGATGTGCGCCATACATTTAAATATGCCAAGTGTAATTTTTCTTAGTCGGTAATTAGAGAAACAATTAAGGAAACTTTTTATTTCGTTCCAAAGGTTCGTCGTTAAATTATTTTTATGAAGTTCCGAGGACCCTTATTATGGACGGCGATAAAATGGCGAGCAATTTGCTCGAATACATTAATTTTATTTTTCTCTCGCATATAGCGAAAACACCTATATCGGTGTCTAATTGTTATCATACGTTCAAATTGATTTCTTCAAAGTTTTTTCCAATAAGTTTTTAATTACGAAAAATAATCGATATTGCCGGAAGTAGATAACATGACAAGTCGCCAAGTTATTGGTATCGGCAGCGGGAGTTGTTGGTTTCGATTGCCACACGAGACAACTATTTGTGTGACCCACAGATAATTATTACGAAGCTGGGTGCTTTCCCATGTGGACTTCATGTATAATCTTTAAAACACAAGATTATGTTATCCTACAGTAAGGTAAAATGTTTTGGAACGGAATATTACAATCGATTTTTCTAGAACTATTTGTGTGACCCACAAGTAGTTGTTTCGCATCTGGGTGTTAGTACGCGTGAAATTTATGTATGTAAAACGTCTTTACAACACAGGATAATGATATCCTAAAGTAAGGGCAATAAATAAAAAAAAATTAAAGAACTAAAAATTAGATAGGTAAAAAATTTCATATCGGGACATATATTTGTATAGGCGTCATGCCTATTTGACTGTCTTGGATTTGGATGTTTGCTTCATAGTAATAAATATACTACAACATAGTGAAGAGGCGTGTGGTGATAGTTTGGAGTGATTTTGTAACGTTAACATGAGAACGGCTTCTATATAAAGAACTAGTTAATCTTCTTCTACCACAATGTCCGCATCTGTAACCTGCATTTGTAGCCTGCCTTTATTAACGTGTATCGCTGTAATAGTATTTTTCAATCAATTGTTCACGCTCGTACTGACATCCTAAGTATCATTGGTCGGATGAATGCCGTTGGGAAATTAACTGTAGGCCTCTTGAGAGGTAGCTAAAAATCAAGGTAGCCAGCTATTTTCTTCACCAACCAACACAATTCAACGTCAAAATACCTCGGAGGTCCGTTCTACATTGCGCGGTGTGTTTGAACAAAAATTTTCTGTGCAAATTTGGCGAATGACGTCACCACTTCACCTAATTACAGGTAGTTAGCCGCGATGAATCATTCGGTCGGCCGCGCCGCGGTTCTAGATTGTTCTAATACGTGTAATAGAAGTCTTTGACATCGAGTGCTTTGGCGCGGAAAATATATTTTTTTATGTTATAAGGTGGCAAGCGAGCTGTTAAGTGATAACCGCCGCCCATGGACATTTGCAACACTCGTAGGTTTAATGACACGTTGCCAGTTGCCACCGTATCATAAAGTGGGCCCCGGCTACTCACCAGACATAACGCAGAGGTGCTTACTCGGACCTGCTCATTCGTGCAAGCCTAAACTGTTGCGTGGCCCTACCACAGTTAACTAGAAGTGGTCCTGCACACTACTTATAAAGCTTTTAAATTTCTTATTAGAAAAGCAGCACGGAATTTTATCTATTGATTAGTTGTCACTAACAAAAAGAGCCGTGATAGCTCAGTGTTCGGGC